ATTATATATATTATGTATATTATATATATTATATATAATATGTATATTACTATGTACTTTACACTTTATGGTAGATTTTCCTAAAAACTATTAAGCATAAAATATCACCACTAGATGCCCTAGATATAGCACAAAAATGCTTCACATGCTAGCTTTTAAGAAAATACTTCACTGAACAGAAAAACCACATAGATCCCTATCTATGCTGTATACATTCAAGAGAGTTGTTTTAGACTTATGGTATAAGATTCAGTACATAAAAATCCAAACAAGTTTAAGAGGAAATGTGTCAAAAACCAAACCACAGCATTGAAAGCAAAAGAACAATATACACTATTGAAGTTGAGTGTAATATTCATTTTGATTGAAAGATAAAGTTCCATAAGAATCAAAATTGAGGAAAAGCCAGAGAATGTTGGGGGGAAATGATATTTAATTGACATTTAAGATTTGAGGGTTACTTGGGATGAATACATAGACAAAAATATAAATCTCTACACAGTTATACTATAGTGGATGTTGTTGATGGAAACAAAATTTGTATTTTTACCAATTAGGAATGCTGTCAAGTGAAATACCTTTTCAACTTTAGTTATTCAAATGACATTGTCTTTTTAGTAACTCCTATTTATTACGCTAGTATTGTATATGAAATCACTAGGTACAAACTCGAAAATTATTCCTGAAGACCCTGTAGAAGGCACTTTTTACTTCTTTGTTCCTAAAACTGTAGATCATTGGGTTTAGCATGGGGATCATTAAAGTGTAAAAGACAGAGGACAGTTTATCAATGTCAGAGTACTGAGCAGATTTGGGCTGCACATACATGAAGAAAAGAGTCCCGTAAAAGACCACCACCACGGTCAGGTGAGAAGCACAGGTGGAGAAAGCCTTTTTTCTTCCTTCTGCAGAATGCATTCGACATACAGCTAAGAGAATCATGAGGTAAGATAACAATACTACCAGGAGCGAGGATGACAAATTAAATATCGCAAAATGATTGATCAGTGTTGCTATTTCTTGTCCATTTGAGCACAGCATAAGCGACATGAGGATACAGTCACAGTAGAAATGGCTGAGAAGATTGGCACAGAAAGTGGATGTAAAAATCAGACTCATAAAGAGGAGAGCCTGCGTGGTACAGTAGAGGTAGGGAATGCCCACCAGCACATGGCAACGTCTCTGGGACATGATGATGCTGTAGAGCAGAGGGTTGCAGACGGCCACGTAGCGGTCGTAGGCCATGGCTGACAAGACGAAAAGTTCACTGACAATGAACACAATGAAGAAGGCCATCTGTAGGGCACAAGCATGATAGGAAATGGTATTTCGACCCATAGCAAAATTCAGCAGCATTTTGGGATAAATGACAGTGGCATCACCCAGATCAATGTAAGCCAGGTGCCTGATAAAAAAATACATTGGTGTGTGTAAGTGGGAATCCAGCTTGGTCAGAATGATCATGCCCAGGTTGCCTGTAACTGTAATCATGTAGATGATGAGGAAGATCCAGGCAAGGAGGAGCTGCAGCTCAGGCAGGCTGGAGACTGCACTCAGAATGAGGTCAGTGGGCACCGTTAGATTCTGTCTCCCCAAGAGGGCCAGATATCTCTTCTAGGGAGGAGAAAAAGAGAGATGCTATGCTTTTATTTAGAATTGTCAAAGAAATTGTAATGAGAAGGCACAGAATGGAAATATATATTCTAACAGTCTAGATTAATACTAATTTCTTCTTCTGATTCTAATAGTTTAAAAAGTTTAATTTTCTCCTTCTCTGTGATGTATCCATTTGAAATATATGAATATTTTCACTTGATGATACAGTAATATTTTGAATAGATCTTTTATTAACAAAACCGTTTTTGTGTAAATATATAAGCATGAGGATTTATTTAATCTATAGGATAGAATAAATTTTAATTTTTTTTCTGAATATACAGGAAGGGTTAGAGAAATAGAGTAAAAGTTGAAATAAAGCATCTATTACAGTAAGACACATTGGCATTAATTATTCTCAACATGTTCCCTTTTGCTCAAACACATAGATGTTCTTGCTCCTCTGACACTCATTTGTGACAGCCTCCCTCATGAGCGAGTTAAGGGGATTGGATCCAAAAGTGATGAATGCTGCTGCCAACTTCCATGCAATCAAAGACAGTCTTATAAAATCAATATGACAGGCGTCATCCAACTTAGTCCCCAAATCTGTAACTGTGTGACTTCCGGCTCTTCTCCAAGGTCTGACCTTGGAAGTATGACCTTCAAAGGAAAATCTTCTCAAGTGACTCAGGACATGAAGGCATCCCCAAGAGTGCAACTGAAGATATTCTTGAAATACGACTTCAAGAAATCCTTGAGCAAGTGGCAAGAACAATGGAGTACATTCATTCCCCACAAAGGATAGGTTTTTTTTTTCCTTTTTCTTTTTATTGAATTTATAGGTACATTCTAGGTATACAGTACAGTTACATTCATTACTGGGATCTTGTACCTTTACATGACAGGTCTTGGTTCCCATTTTTCCCCTTGTCTCTGCCCTCCCTTCACCCCCTCCTCCCCTTCCCATTAGGATAGTGTTTTGAAAATGATTAATGGCACTGTGTCCTGTACCTGTGAAAATTTGCACTTATTTAAATATATTCTTTGTTTCCTGGTCTCATCTTCTCCTGTTTATTTAGTCCGTCAATTCTAGTGCAGTTTTCGTATTCTTGAAAGTGAAGTGGAGCTTCGTCAATGAGTTCACAAAGCAAGACTGCTTTGTCAAACCTTCCAAATACTACACATAACTTGTAATCACTTAAGCTCAGTGTTTCTTTGCATTCTGATTTCTATTCGGTTGAAGTCATGGTGCATTAGCATCTACAGGCACTCGTAGTGTGCAAGCAACAAAAAATTGAGGTAGCGACTTTTTTAGTGATTTGTCCACCTATTTACATTGTTCAAAATTAATGGCACATATCATTGAAAAATGGTGCTTTCTCAGAATAGATATATCTATGTGTGGAAATATGTTCATTCATAATAAAATTAATTAATTCATACATTTTATGTTGTTTTGAGTACTTATTTATTTGCAGTTAACTGGAATTTCTTAAATTCTTTTTCACCCCCAATACATATTTACATATCATTTATCAGGGTGTGGGGATAATTTTGCTCCATTTTAGTGAATGAGAATCCTCAACTAAATTAGCCTTTAAGACACATAAGATATAGACCGATTCTTGCTCATATAAATATTTTTTGTCAAAAAGCATGGATTTGAGAGGATTTAATTTTATATGCTTTACATCATTAACAATAGTAAATGATAGTTTATAAATACACTGGAATTCATTTGATTATTTTTATAACATGTATTAATAGGGTTCATGATAAAATAATTAGTATCTGTTATATCTTTCAAAATCAAATCAAACTCAGTGTCCTGCATTTTACTTAGAATCCCTGCACTTATTCAGTTCTATTTGATGAGATCAGTGAAACACTTTATACATTTCCTAAGTCCCTCACTTACACTATCTAAATGCCACTTTAAACTCTCACAAACCTGATTGATTTAAGATATTTGTTCAGTATGTTTAGTTTTATGCCTATAAGCAAAATAATACTCCAAGAGTTGTCAGTTCATACAGAGATACTGAATTTTGCAGTGAATTTAAATAAATCAGCTGTCATTGACTATGACTGTCTGTAGCCAAAATCTAAAAGTAAGGGAGACTTACCGAATCCAGGTGAGCATCAAAAGTCAAGGCAATTCTTCCTCATCTTATAATGATGATCACATTTCCTGTTCTGAAATCACTCTGACTTTGTTTTTCTGACTTTCTGTTTGGAGATGAATTTAAGGTTCTCTCTCCTTTGCGTAATATTCCCTATGGAGTAGTATTTACTTTGTTCAGTTCATTCTACACAATTCAACTGAGGGACTTAAAATTTGCTGTGATGACATCATTGTATGTCACCCTGTGAAAATATGTCAGGAAGAGTCAAGGAAAGGAACAAGCAAGAGAAATGAGCAGAACGTGTCTAAAGACTTCAGAAATGTTGAGAGACTCTCTCATCCACTTACATGGAATCAAATAGTAGAACAGAAATAGGGAAACTTTCACACCACTTTTCCCCTAGAACTGGGGCAGTTGCAACATCATGGTGAAATTTTAAATAACTGCATTATTAAACCCTAGGGTTTCTCCTCTTCTTTTAAGGGAATTGGTCAGATCCACAATTGCCTAGGCAAGAGAATGAGGAAGGATAAAAGAGACAGAAACAATCATTTAGAATGTGAGGGGTCCCTGAGTAAGACATGCCACTAGTGGACATTCTCAACAATCTTCAGCTTGACCCACTTTTATTAGAAAGCCAAAAGCACTGGGGGTATGAGGTCGGGCATCATTCATGGGACAGTGACAGCCAGTAGATGTCAGTTGGTAACTCACAGGTAATGAGGAATGGGGAGCAAGATGGGTGGGGAACAGATCCTCCCCGCTCCCCAGATGTCTTGTCCTCAGCAGAAGTTATCTTGTCCTAGAAGTGCTGTGCTTATGAAATTTCCCACAGATAGCCAAAAACCCAGTGGTGTTTTTTTAAATCCACTTTTCTGTTCCTGAAGCAAGTTATATTGGCCTTGGGCTCTATGGGAATGAAATCAGGTAGCCCAGTTCCCAATGCTTTTTATACTTCACAGTATGATATCCAGTAAGCCCTGAAATAAAATACGTCATTTAACTCATCCAAGTGAGCTAGTTCAAAACTAATCAAAATTATGATAAATTGTGTACTTCTCTTGAAGCCACGTGAACAGTAACTGAATGGTGAAATGACACTTAATAACTTAATGAATGAGAGACATATTGTGTTCTTTTATTTTTGTACTGGAATTCAAACTCGGGACCTTATGTTTGGGAAGCAGATGGCAAAACCACTGAGCTAAATCCCTGGCATAAGTTGTGTTCTTTAGACAAAAAGGTCACAGTTTTGATGAGGCAATGCTGCACTACAATGTCTGTTCAGGGATTTTATTTCATGGGACGAAATTCCACCACTGTTAAATCATATTTAGTGCAATCACATTCATAGTACAATCTACTAAATACCATGTCCCCCATTTCTCATATTAGAAACATGGTCTCTTCCTTTTATAAGTAGGACAATCAGGGGCATTTCCACATGAAAATTGGAATGTTAGTGAACACAATAATAAGGTTTGTTTTAAAAAGATTTCATATTTACTCTATTCCTCTATCTAGATATGGATTATTTTCTTTTTTGTACTGTAATTAAAGTTACTCATCTCATAGCTCTGATGTTATTATTTTTCTTCTGCAGTACCTTCCCGTAAAGCTCAGGCAGACTGCGCACTGACTGTGTAACCCTGGTTGGCCAGGAGCTCTCACAGTTCTCCTTTTTCAGACTCCTGAGTGCTAGAGGTGCAGATGTGCCCACCGCACTCAGAATATCTGGTATGAAGTTTTAAGCAATTATTTTCAGAAAGAATTTCTGAAATTTTTTGGCCTTCTGTCGTTTATTCCCCCAATTGGACCTACAATTTGTCTTGTTTTGTTCTACTAGTTACTGAGATCATAGTAATAATTTTGGTGAATGTTTTCTTTCTGAAGGGATTCTCTTAGGGGAGACTCTAGTGTGATTTGTGAATGTGTCATCTTCACATTTTCTATGTACAATCCAATGTTTTAGGGATTCAATAAATATTTATAATTAATGTTGCATTATCATTTTTCAATTATCATTTTTAGATTTTTTCATCTTAAATTTGTTGCCTGTAACAATCATATTTCTGTTAAATCCTTTGACTGTTAAACACACCCATAAGAGTTATCTTAAAATGCTTACCTACTTTTTCTGTTTCATTTCAGGACTTTCCTCAATGGGATTCAAATTGTGGGACATTTATACCTCTTAGTTTTTACTATGTCATGAATGTTGCATATTTTATGTTAATGGACTCTGGTTTGATTGGATTTATTTTCTTACAAAGGACTAAAATTTACAGAGGGCAGATTTTGTGCAATTGGAGACTTGTTTCCTAGGCTCAAATTAGCCCTCCGTAGTTCTACCTTTAAGATCCTACATACTCCAGATAGTGAACTAAAGTGCTCTGTTCTTTAAGAACTTTAAGATATTTTACTGTACAAAAATCCGTACATGGTCCATATATATATGCTGTATATGTGAAAGAAACTCTCCTTTGGAACGGTAGCTTGAGATTTGTTACACATAGAAAGACAAAGAAGAAATGTGTCAAAAACTAAACCACAACTATCAATGCAAATTGAACACAGACTATTGATGAAGAATGCAATAGCCATTTTAATTTGAAAAATACAAATTTCTATATTTAGAAGTATTGAGTAAAATCCAGGCAATGGGAATGTAGGGGAAGAAATGACATTTAACGGATAGTTTAAATGCAAACATAAATTAAGATATAACTGCTAATATATATATATATATATTATATATATATGTATCAAATATGGATAATGCATTTTTCTATGTAGCTAAAATACATTCCTCTCATATAGCAATGCCGTCAAATGACAATACCATTTTAGTTTTATTACATCAAATGATATTTCCTTTCTCAGAATTCCTAGTTTTCTAGCCTAACATTCAATCAGAAACACTAAATTCAAACTTTAGATTTCCAGAAGACCCTGTAGAAGGCACTTTTTACTTCTTTATTCCTAATGCTATAGATCAGCGGGTTTAGCATAGGTACCACCAGTGTATACAACACAGAGGACATCAAATCAATTACAGAGGGCTGAGAAGATTTTGGCTGCACGTACATGAAGAAAACAGTCCCATAGAAGACGACCACCACGGTCAGGTGAGAAGCGCATGTAGAGAAAGCCTTTGTCCGTCCTTCTGCAGAACGCATTCGACATATGGCTAAGACAATCATAAGGTAGGATAACAGTACTGCGAGAAGTGTGGATGTCACATTGAATATTGCAAAATGGTTGATCAATGAAGCTATATTGGGTCCATTTGAACACAGCATAAAAGAAACAGAAATATTATCACAGTAGAAATGGCTGAGGATATTACTACAGAAAGTCGATGTAAAAATCTGACTCGTGAAGAGCAGAGCCTGCATTGTACAGTAGAGGTAGGGAATGCCCACCAGCACATGGCAAAGACTCGGAGACATGATAGTGCTGTAGAGCAGAGGGTTGCAGATGGCCACATAGCGGTCATAGGCCATGGCGGGCAAGATAAAAAGTTCACTGACAATGAACACGACGAATAAGGCCATCTGTAAAGCACATGCATGACTGGAAATGGTATTTTCACCTGTAACAAAATTTAGCAACATTTTGGGATAAATGGCCGTGGCATCTCCCAGATCCATGTAAGCCAGGTGTCTGATAAAAAAATACATTGGTGTGTGTAAGTGGGAATCCAGCTTGGTCAGAATGATCATGCCCAGGTTGCCCACCGCTGTGAGACCATAGATGACCAGGAAGATAAAAAAGAGTGGGAGCTGCAGCTCAGGCAGGCTGGAGACCGCTCTCAGAATGATGGTGGCTGGCACTGTCAGATTCTGTCTGCCCATGATGTCCAGATATCTCTTCTGGGACAGAAAAAGATGAAGGTGTGACTTCTATTCACAATGGTCAAACAAATTGCAATACTCATGCAAAGAAGGAAGTATTTGTTGTCCTTGGCCATAGAATAGTAATGCCATTTTTTTATTCCATTAGTGTAAAAAGGTGTATAATTTTCGCTCTCTCAATGAAGTATACATGTGAAATACATGTATAGATTCAACGGTTAAGAAAGGCAGCAATATTGGAATATGTCTCTCATATACAAAACCATATCAGTGAATATATAGAAACCTTTGCTCTATTTATATACATGATGTAAACAGTGTTTTTTTTTTCTGAGTACACATGGGTAGATGGAAAGACTGGGTAAAGGTTGAAACAAAACACATCCATTACAGTGAGACTCACTGCTATTAGTCAGCCTCAATACATTCCCTTTGGTTCAAACACATAAATATCACTGTGCTTGCTACTCTGACATGCAGTCCTGACAGAGGTATGGACTAATAAAGTCACTGAATGAATTCTGCTGTGAGCTTCTATGCAAAAGAAAGACAGTCCCATAAAATCCGTGTGCTATGTTTCATCCACCTCCCTCAGCAGATCTGTCACAGTGGGACTTCCCTCTCTCCTCCAAGGTCAGAATGACCTCCAAACTGATTCAAGACACCGAGGCAGCCATGAAGAGTGCAAGTGATGATATTCAAGAAATAGAGCTTCTAGAATAGCTTCAGCAAGTGGCAGTAACAATGCAATAAGTTATTTCACCACATCGCATGATGATTTAAAGGTAATTAATAGCAAATCTGTTCTTGCTAAAATTTGTGATTATTTATTTTTGCACTGTTTCTTGATCATACATGGCATTGATGACTTAATCCAGCAATTCTTAGTGAGATCTAGGAGAGCTTTATCATTAAAAATGCACAAAGCAAGTTTTTGTTGTCAAACCTCCAAAAATGCGATGTAACCTTTAATCAATTAAGCTCATTTTTCTTTACATTCTAGATTCCACTCCCTTGTGATTTAATTGAATTCATGGTGCTTTAACTTGTACAGACATTTGCAGAGTCCAAGTAACAGAATTGAGGTAAAATTGAAGGCATTTAATAATGATAAATACTTCATTCTTATACAAGAACATATGGCTCTGTAGAATTTTAATACCTTTTTCAACATTAATACGCTTTGTTGTTTAGAGTAATTATTTACATTTGAAGTTCTAAATTATTTTTCATTCTCTATAAATACTAACACTCTGTTATCAGCCTTTATAGATATTTGACTTGATATTAGTGAAAAATAATCCACAATTATATTGAACTTTAAAACATAAGATTGAAATATATTCAAGTTCAGATAAGTGTTATTTGTCATCACATATGAAGTTTGAGCATTTAATTTTATATGCTTTATATCATAAATAGACACTAGTGAGATGACAGTTTTTGATACATTAAAACAATCTTTCCATCATTTATATAACCTATTAATAGTGTTCACAATATGTCTACCATTTTATAATGGAATAAAGTATGACACTGAGATATTCTAATACTCCAGTAAAAGCGACTGGCCTTCAATCCCCAAAATTAATGTGACGAGACCGTAAACCAAGCAGAACTCATGAAAGCTGGGGACGCTGTCAGCCTCACCTCTTGAAGTCTCTTCCTGTCACTTTCAGTCTCAGTTCGGTAAAAGCCTGGAACTGCCAAGGTGATTTTCTGTACAGAAGAAATGGGATGTCGCAGTTCTGTTCTGGGAATGCAGAGCAGGAGCGTTTCCTGGGACTTCGGGGTCCCCCGCACAGCCAGCAGGCGTCAGGGTTCAGCACAAAGTGGACAGGCACAGCTCAGAGCAGCTGCCCTGCAAGCACAGCGGCCCCAGTTAGCAGGAGATCTGGGGATCTGCTCACCTCGGTGCCCTCCTGTTTCTCTCAGGTGGGAATTGGGGCCGGGCACAGGGCGATCCTGGAGGTTGCTGGGCAGCTGGTGTCCCTTCTCCCTAGTGCAGTGGTCAGTGACTGCTTCATCTGAGTCCCACACCTCTGCCATGCCTTTTCCTCCCACTCATGAGGCAGAATCTGTGTCCTTCTGAAAATTTAATTTTGAATTCTGGTTACGGGTTCTGCCATTTTAAGCTTTTACTGTAGAATAGAAGAGGATTTGATTGAGAATAAGGATCCAGAAATGCATCGCCTACCTTATAATTGTAAAGTTCTCCAATATTTCCAAGGATTCTAGAGCTGTGTGTGTGTGTGTGTGTGTGTGTGTGTCTGTGTGTGTGTGTGTGTGTGTGTGTTTACTGCGAATCGAAATCGGGTCTTTGTTCATGCAAGGCAGGAGATGACACCACTGAGCTAAATCCCCGGGCCTTAGAGCTTTTTTATATATTTATTGATTTGTGTACTTTACTGATTGTGTGTGTGTGTGTGTGTGTGTGTGTGTGTGTGTGTGTAACAAGGGATTGAACTCAGGACCTTAAATTTTTCGAGGCAGTAGGTAGAACCACTGAACTAAATCCTTGGCCCTGGAGCTTTTCCAAAAATTATTTTTATTTAATTTTATCTCAGTACTGCCCGAAGCCCTCTTCTCCCCCAATGTAATAAAATCTTTGTTTCCATTTTTCCTTCTATTTTCATTTTTTCCTAGTTCCTTCTTTTCTTAGAGCTTTTAATTGTTTTACATCTATCTCGATTTCTATTGTCCATTTTACTTTGCCATGAAGATGTAAACATGCCTTCCCTCTACCCAGTTTTCCTGTTTGAAAAAGAATACCTCTGAAACCCTCAGAATATCTCACTGTACACATTTTCAGTATTCCCACCTGGAGCTATTTCCTAGCTCAGGCAGAGTACAAAAAGTATGTGGAGGAAGTAGATATGCATGCTCATTTTATTTAACAATTATTGGGAGGTCAGGGGTTTCTTCATAACTTCAAAAGCCTTACAAAGTCATCTGATTAGTTCTATATAGTCAAGATTTGTATTATCCACATAGAGAATATACTGTGTGAAAAGAAAATGGAGCCAGATAATAAGCACCATTTTGGAAAATACAGTCAAAGACTGAAAAACCTGACCGTTGATGCATGTAACAACACCCCACAGAGAAAACTATCTACACTTTAGGAAATTTTACTATGAAATATGACTATAATTTTTCAAAATGGTATTATAATATGTTAGTGGAAAGTGATATTTTAATGATAAAATATAACATACTAGTGGAAGCTGCCACACATTTCAAGACCAAATAAAACTCCGCATTCTGGATTTTACTTGGAATTTCTAAACTTAATTCCACGTTATGAGTCCAGTGATACACTTTATTATGTTTCCTAACTCCCTTATGACTCACATTATCTAAATGCCACGTGAAACTCTCACCCATCTGATGGATCTGGAGTATTTGTTAGGTGCCCTGTTTTTTGTACCTAAAAGCAAAACGCTTTTTCTAGAGCCTGCAGTTCACAGGGAGATGCTGAATTTTGCTGTGCATTTAAACAAATCAGCCATCCTGATCATGGGTGTCTACAGCCAAATCCAAAAGTGAGGGAGACTTACCAAATGCAGGGGAGCATCCAAAGTG